GGAAATGGTATGCAGTATAGCCAATGGAATGGAATCGGCGGTAAGAAACGCGGGGATACTATGTTTGACTAATATTCCCGAGCAGTGGATACTCACATGTCAGACGCCTCAAATGTACAAAGTGAATAATACGGAAAGAATTATATCGATGTATATTAGGGGACTTCGCTGTGGCTTCTTCCATCAAAGACCGACCGAATATCCCCACATGGAAGCGGTTTGTTACAAGTGTCAGAAATGAGGTCACATATCTATAGTTTGCCGATTCGTACGAGTCCCAAAGAAATAACTCACATCAACAGAATACGCGGTCACAGATTCCAAAAGCCTGTCGTACTGACTAGTGGTTTCAGACCTGTACTTCCCACCGGTTTAGCGTTTCACATTAACGAGGAATCTGCTGCTTTTGAGCTGGATACCGAATGTACCGGTACAGTTTTCAGCAAGAAATCTGAGTGGATAGAATTCGGCCCATTTAAACCGCCCCTTTATCGCATTTTGCTCTTGTACAATCAAATACTGCATTTTTATTTCACACGTATGAAACAGACTGTTTACCAAATAATTCATAATATACTAATCTTCATCTAAAAGAGAAACTTCCCTGATTTGTTTCTGAAGTTTGTCCAGACTGAAACGGGTGCATTATCTGGAGAAATTCATAACCGGAACCTTTGACCAACCAAAGTTTGACCTATAAGACAATGGGGGGATGTGTGAATACCGCAATCCATTGGATCCGGTGTCCAGTTCATCGAATCATTCGCCTTTTGAAGGGTGTCAAACATCCAAGGTGCGCAAACGAGCCGGTGACCACTGCTAAAACCAAGAAAGTGTGGTTCGTACGCCTTTACTCGGTTCGTTTTGAATCAGAACGTTTTAGCCAACTCACCTGGGTGAACAGTTAGTGGTTCATCAACCCGGTTATGACCCCGGATTTTTGATTTCGGTCCTCTCACTTTGGTGGTAAGACACCTCCGTCACGAGATGACAGTGAGTAACGCTTCCTCAGAAGAGGCTGGCTGAGACGCTTGGTTGTATGGGGACAATTCCTGAGGTTCAAAGGAACGGTGACCAGCCACAACCCAAGACACCCACCTCCGACGATACTGAATTTTTCGGAAGCAAGATGACGAAGGGAACCTTCTTTATCGCGACTGGCTGCAACAGACACCGGCTATTCAAAAATACCACAGTAAACACGCTCGGGTTGGTGAAAAGTTTGAATCACCTCATCGATGATAAGGATGGACTAAAAGTCACCGCATTGAGCCTCATCAAGTTAGACAACATTCACCCCAGGTTCCTAAAGGCCGACTGACTACCTCCTATACTCTAACCGAGGATTGAAATCGAATTCCAACGTATCCGGAACAACGAGATTATGGAACAGTTGAACTCTAATTGGGTGACGCCGACCATACTGATGGTGAAAGATGGCGGAACAGTTCGTATGCGTAAAGATTATAAGGCGATACTAAATTCATGTCTATCGATGCAACCACTAGATCCCCAGGATTGAAGACCCCAAGGCCACAGTGGATGTTGGAATTTATTTTAGCGCCAGATGGACGCTTTGAAGATATCAACACTGGAGGGTTTGTTTCGGTCCACTAGATTGCCTTTTGGAATAGATTCCGGTTCGGCTATTTTCCATTACATCACAGAAACTTTTGTCAAGGGTTTGCGTAAGACAACTAATTACTTGAACGGTATCCTCACCGCAGGTTCCACACCAGAGAAGGCGACGGGTATAACCTGGTTTCCGTTAAAACAAGGACATACACACTGATGGCGGACCGCGTGGAATATCCTAGTTTTCGATTGTATACGAAATGCATAATGAAGAACAAAATCGGCCAATTCTCCCAACATCCATGAAATGCGTCCGTTTTTGGGAATGATCATTTATACCCGATTTTTACCCCCACTTAATCGGTTACTACTACATTGCGCGGGAGTGGTAGGTCATCGAAGAAAAGGCGTTTCAGAGTGTCAAGCGGATGATGACAAATCAACATATTACAGCATTTGAAACCTGAAAAGTCGATAGTCCTGTCCTGCGGTACATCTGTCTACGGCATTGGAATGGTGTCGACCCAGAGAAATAGTGCAAGCCGGGATAACTGAATTACGTTCACTGCACGTCCTGCCGATTCCGTGGAGATGAATTACGTGCAATCGGTTAAGGAGGCGCTGGCGGTAATGCGTTTCCTTCATTGTCTCTTTGGACAACAGCTGAAAATCCGTATGGACTTTAAACCACTGGGTTTTATCAAACCCGATTCCACAAATTGCAAAGATAAACATTATATTTATCTGCCGACCAATATTACATTAATTATATAACGAATAATAAAAACCTGGTTGTATACGAAGGTGGTGGCTTCCCTTTCCGGAACTGCTAGGAGAGTTTGTGCTATTCATGGAGTTGGGCAATAGTTCCGCAGTATGAAGCACCCTAGTGAAGGCAGAAACACAGGTAGGCTGAAGCCTAAAACAACTAAAAGGATATGTCGAAAACCGCTGACTCGGCCAGGTGACCTAGAACCTCTAAGGCTACTCTAGACGGTAGGAAGAACTGAGCTTACATGACGGCTGATTGTTGTAGGATTGATCTACGAAACTCTGAAAATGATTAGACTGAGTATGTTGGTACAGTTGAAGGTCGGTAATACGATACTAGAGGTATTTGGCGCACATTCGAATTGGATACAGGCTACATCTTCCAAATATCGACCGACTGCTTGTTCATCAACATTATTGAAAGTTTTCGAAAGAGTCCTTCTTAACTGACTGACCCTTTTATCTGTTACCCATGACTCAATTCAGTTTGCTTACAAACATTCGCTTTCCAGTCTTGATACTGTTGCTCACGTTGTTCAATCCGTTTCATCCTTATGGCTAAAAGGGCTGGCATCGTCCGTTTAACTTTTCTTGATTATGCTAATACTTTCGGATCACCCGACCGTGGCATTCTCATTCAATGTCTTTCGGATTGTGGTCTGGCACCTAATTTGTTAAATGTACTCAATAATTACTTCAGTCATAGGACGCAATGCACTTTTTGTAACGGTAAATCTTCCTCCCTGCTAGAAGTTTTTCAGGATGCTGTTTTGTCTCCATTTCTTATTTCACTGTACATTGAGGACCTTCTCATCCCTCCCAAATTTATCGTATGCAAGTATGCAGATAACGCAGATAACTGTCATGAAGAACACTGCCTGCACTCCCATCTCAACAAATCGGGGTCTCATCCGAGTAAGCGTCCCAAATTTAAGATTCTTTGTGCACGCACCACCACATATAAAAATAGCATGATCCCTTATTTTGCTCTTATCTTGGTCAACCGAGCAAATATTATTACTGACTTGAATACTCATCTGTCAGAGGATTTTATCACATCCGTTTGTTTTTCATTCAGTAAATGTATATTTCTTCTTTATCCAATGCTTAACGTTTTCCTCAGTGTAACTTGTCGAAAGTACTGAAAATTCATCTTACTGGATGCATAAAGCTTTACTTGATTTAACTTTAAGCTGAGAAGAAATCTATTAGTCATATTGCCAGCAACATACTTCCGAGCTTATTCAAGACTCGTGGCATTTTGGGTACTCTCTTGTGTGGTAATAGTCTTTCTTTCATGAGTTCAGAGTTCCGTTTGTGCCTACAAAATAACACAACGCACTCGTTCATCTCACCCCACTTGCAACCGTTTATCGGAAAAAGTTTTTCCGAACTGTCAAACAAGGAATTCCAAACATATCGTTGATGATGTCCAGGACTGGCTAAATATATAAGTTCTTGTTTGGTTATCGGATAACTCACAAAGTACAGCGAGTATGAGAGGAATGGAGGATTTGATTTGATTATGTAATAAATTGTTTGTGTGAATGAAGCGTGAGCTGAAAAACTGCAAAGCACTGGACATATATTTCAACCAGGTTGGGTCTCATCAACAATGTGAGTTCATCGACTCAACTGGGGAACGCGAACCCGGAGCCCCACAGAGGGAGCACAAGTTCACACCTCATTTAAACCATGAATGCATTAGAAAACGGGTATCTCATCACTTGAACTGGTGATGGGTTACGCATCTTGTCTATACATCCGCTGCGATCGGCGTTAGGAGAAGAAGGCACGAAGAAGCATTATGATCAGAAGTCGACCAACCGAGATGTGGTCTCCCCGGCCATCAGGTCTAAATTAAGTCTGATCTCTGAGCAGTGAAGTGGGTGGTGAGCGATGTGATTCGAATAGTTGACCAGCAAAGGACTACACAATTGGAGGATGGGGATATCCATGAACAATATCTTTATCCTTTGCTCCCTCGGACTGTAGGGATTCTCGAAGTCGGGGACTTGAATCAGCCAATGGACAATTGGACGATTAGTTAAACTCTTTCCCCGCAATGTTGATACAAATACACCCCATGAGGTTCTGGGTTCGATCCCCAGTTGGGTCGATGGATTCGCACTGCTGATGGGACCCAACCAGTTCACGTTTCAGTTGCTCTATACACGACAAATTCACTTTCGAAGTTTAATCAAATCCTCCATTTTACTCACTTGAAACAGATACATCTATCAGATTAGGGGTTTTGGATATTCGGTATTCAATACGAGTAAAACGACCGGTGAACCGCTACCTGAACGGACAAGCATAAATCCTAGCTGATCGCGGGAAGATGTGACCGCATTCATTGTCTTTATCTGACCTAGTGTTTGTCTCCACCTATGCACACAATCATGCCCGCGATTACACTCTGTCATATGTTCTCAATTCTACCAAACGATCTTGGACGCATAGACCTGCCCGTGTTCACATCGGTTTACACATTGTTTTCATGTATTGACTGCTAGGTAGGCANTTGTAGCACAAAACTGGTTCATAATTTGCAGAGACAGAAAATACCAATCAGCAAAATGTAATCGCTGACAAGTAAGAATATGCGAAACCATAAACTAAAGGTCACTAGTTCTGTGTTTGTTTATTTCTTCTCACACAGAACAAAACGGCCTCCCGGATAATGGAATAATGGAAAAAAATATTCCATACGATGAATGCGTCGTATACTGAGTAAAACAAACGGCTTTGTTAAGGCCGTCAGGTCTCATCATCATCATCATCATCATCATCATCATCATCATCATCATCATCATGATCATCATGATCATCATCATCATCATCA